CTATCAACTCATTTGCTCTTCTTTTCTCTCTTGGATGTGTGGAGATAATGCATGCATGTGACCACGCTGGTGGCTGACTACGATCCACGTAAGAGGACTGAAGCGATAACTGACAGGGAAGGATACCCAGGACGGTGGTCGCTACGCTAACAAGAGATGGGATGCTACACTTGCGGCCAGGAGGGTCACTTTGCAAGGGATTGCCCGCAAAGGGTGGGCGTAGCTGGGAACAATAATAATAATAATAATAATAATAATAATAATAATAATAATAATAATGGCGGTAATAATAACGGTTATTGTAGATCGAATGGGATGACATGGCAGCAGAGGAAAGATTTTGAAGATATCGGGTGGATGAGAGCGCTATGCGCGGATTTGGCGAAGGAGAGAAAGGAAAAGGAGGAGCGTGAGAAGGAACAAGAACGTTTGAAGGAGGAGGTGGAAAGAAGGAGAAGGGAAGAGGAGCTCCATCTTCAGCACAAGAACGAGATCGAAAGGCAAGCAGAGATACGGGATGCACGCCTGATGTCCGCCATGACGTCCCAACTGAAGTCACTGCATGACAAGCTCATGGGGCAAATGGACGAAGTACGATCCAAAGTGCTGACTGGAGATATGCAACGCGTGGATGTCGGAAGAATGCGGAATGAAGTGCTTGGACTTGAACGGGAACTTGTGAAGGAGGACAGTCCCGACAAGGAGAGAGAAGAACTCAAGAAGAAGCTGACACAGCTACAAAAACTCAAGGAAGAACGCGATCGGGCTCGGATGAAGAGGAAGATACTGGAAGAAGAGATGAGGTGGGAGATGGAACAGACGCGGCAGGAATTGGAATTCGAAGAAGACCGGTTCGCACCGTCATCATCTGCAAGGCCTCCTAGGAAGCAAAGCATCGTGAGTCCGGGAACCCCTTCTTGATCTCGCCGCGCCAAGCAGCCGCGGTCCGGGATCCGCATCGAAAAACCATCTCCTCCGAGGACGCCTGTGACACGATCACGTGCAAAGAAGAACCTTATCGTTGACAACGAGTCTCTGATCGATGGTTGGAGGGACATTACGAAGAAGGACGCGAATACAAATGTTGTGGACTTATGCATGAGCATGCGAGGATAAGAAGGAGGAGGAAAGGGAGAAGAGAAAGAAAGGGAAGGAGAGTTACGAGAGAAAAGAAAGGGAATATCCTCCACTTCACGGACAAGGATGGAAACACAACTACACGTCTGACTGAATACATGGAACGAGCTCTCAAGAATGGACGACAGGATATACACGTCACTTGTACAGGAAACATATGGTGTGAGGATTGGAAAGTCCTGAAGCGTAGATTTGGGATGACATTGATCGAAGTACGGGGGGTGAAATGCCTTCTTAAGGAGGCGAAAAGGCGGATCGAACTAGGGGGCTTGCTTATTATCAAGGACCCGGCGGAGACTGTATCCTTCCCTTCCAAGATTAGGCGGGAGCTCCTGCTGTTGCTTACACAACCTTGGCGGAGGAAGCTGCTGCGGAAAAAGGAGGACCATGAGTTGACCCACTTGTACCAAGCAACTAGGGGTTTTGATAAGAGTAGTAGACAATGGATGAGGAATATTATCTCACGGGTTCTCAATGAAAAACTAGGTACTAATCTGAGGAAGAGGCACATAATCAGGATTCCGTATGATGATAGGGTGGATAGGAGGAGAATTGGGGATATAGCGAAAGCAAAGATTGGTGATCTGGGGTTGCACGATTCGATGGCAAGCATCGTACGAAGACACGTCCGAGTTGTCTGGATGAAGAAACAGACAATTGGTGATGTGCTTCACAACCATAGAGACTACGCGTGCTCTAATGGTAGCATTTGCGTTTGCGCAAATAGCCCTTTCCCACTAGTGGAAGGACACATACGTTGCAGACTCTCGGACCTGGGAGCCCCAGACTTCTTACTCAATGCCAGGAATATTCCTACACAACGGACGAGGGAAGTAAGGAGGGGGATCATGGCTGCTATCCTCGACGGACTGGGAGAGATTTTTAGGACCTCGGGAAAATGCCTGGCTGTTCACATGGCGGAGATTCAAGACTGCGTACGTGAAAGGGAGACTGCATTTGAGGACCAGTTCCACCTCGTGCAGGATTGGAAACGACGACTTCGGGGGCTCGTCTGTATGCCGATGGACCGCAATCTAGGGGCGACATACGTCGTCTGTCCGACGGTATACGCCAGAGCACTACGAGATATGTTCTGGCATGGAGGAAGTTTTAGAATGTGTACCTTATCGGCGGATGAGGCACAAGCCACCTGCCGAAGAAAGTACGAAGAGCGGGGCCTTAAGAATTTGGGAGCATGGCGCAAGAAAGGGAGATTCGGCGACGTGTATGTCCTACCGAAACACAAAGATCCCGCGAGATGGCAGCCGATCGCTCCTGCTTGGAATTTGCCCTCGAAGGTAGGAGTGAAGAAGGTTGCTAAGGCTCTGCAATGTATGCTCGGAAGCCTGGCGAGAGGTCTGCACTTCAACACCTATTCGTCAGAAGATGCAATCAAGAGACTCCATGGCTGGGCATCTCATTTGGAGAAGGAATATGGAGTGATGTCAGCCTCCTTCGACATCAAGAACATGTTTGCTGAGCTACCTCATGCGGCGATCCTGGAGTCTCTCGAATGGATGATCCGGATGATGGAGGCAAAAGGATTTGACAGGGTGAATGTGAATTGCCGGGGAAAGAAGCCAGCGATGGGAAAACAGAACAGGGATGGCCACTTCCCTGTGAAGTTTGATTGTATACTGAATTGGGTCAGATACGAGCTGGAGTTTTCCTACAGTCTGGCCGAGGGAGAGCTGATACAGCAGATCCAGGGGATCCCCATGGGTGGTCACACGAACCCTTCCCTCGAGTGCATCCTTTGCGTCCGTAGTGAGGCCCAGTTCATGTATGAACTGGGGACACTTCGGAAGAGGATCCTGGGGCTGAGACTCATGGACGATGTGGCTGTCTTTGTCCGCTTCTTTCAAGAGAAGGCGGAATCAGCCTGTCAAGCAAGGGACATACTTGAGAAATTGAAAGGATGCTACCCTTCGTCCCTATCTCTGGAACGGACGGATGCTGACGACGGGATGCTCTCGTTGCTGGGGTGTAGGATCCTCGTCGATCAGGAAGGACCGAAGATCACATCGGTATTGCAGATGAAGAACCAGGACTGTATGAGTGGAGACCAACCACTGACGTTCCAGTGCATCCAGGATTTCAGGTCCTATAGCGACAAACAGACTAAGACCTCCATGATTAAGAGCTATCTGCACCGTATCGTGCGATGTTCGAATGATGCTGCACTAAGAGATCTTCCTGTGGCCTGCCTGAGGAAAGAGCTCCGTACGAGACATTTCCCTGTGTCCGTAATTGACAAAATGGTGCAATCTTTTGAGTGTGATCAGAGGGTGAGACTAGGAAGGGAACCCTCCATCCACAAAGGATGGAGGTAGAAGAGAGAGAGAGAGAGAGAGAGAGAGAGAGAGAGAGAGAGAGAGAGAGAGAGAGAGAGAGAGAAAGAGAGAAAGAGAGATGCGACGTACAGAAATCGTTTTTCGCTTTCTCGTTTTTCGGATTTCGTTCTTCTTTTGGCATGTTGCTCTCATTCTGCTTTTTTCGTCTCTAGTTCTTTTCAATTCGTTTCCCTCCCTCTCTTGGTTGTAGTTTGTTTGTTTATTTATTTATGTATTCATTTATTTATTTATTTACGTATTTATTTATTTATT